ACACCATTTTAAGGCTCCTGGCTTTTTAGATGGGTAAAGACATATGGAATTCTAAACATGATATTATGTTTTCAAAGAACACTCTGGAAATAGACACTGAGAGGGCCCAGGGTACAATCAGGGTGACCAATTAGGAAGTCATATAGTGATCCAAGAGCTGGCTAGAGGGGATGGTGACCAGGACCAGGGTGTAAAGAAAGTAGTCAGATCCTGGATACATATTTGCATATAGAACCAAAAAGACTTCCTGACTGAGTGAGATGTGAGAGAATGAGAGGAGCCAAGTATAACGCCAAGGTTTTTTTAACTGAGGAACACTGGAAGGATGGAAGTTGCTATCAATAATTAGACTGGGAAAGCTATGTGGAGTATATATTTTTAGGACAGTTTCACTTGAGAGATGAGTATAGACACCCCACTTAAGATGTCCAGCAATCAGATATAAAATTCCATTTAGTATATTCCTTTGAAGAATGTACATTTTATTCAGCCATTCCTCTACTAGTGGATATTCAAGTTGTTTCCAATTTTTTACTCTTACGAAAAATATTGTTCTAATATCCTTGTCTTTCTCTAGAATGTGTATATAGTTCCAAGTAGAACTGTTATGTTATAGAGTTAGAACTTAAAATACTGCCAAACTGTTCTTCACATTGGCTGCACCAAATTGCCTCTACTGCACCAAAACTTAATATAATTATTGATCTATACTCTTTACATGTACACTCAATGTGAGTCTCTGCTGTGTGCATTTTCAAACACCTTAAATTTTTGTGCTACCTTGATTTTGATGCAGTCAAATTTTTCTTTAATTTTAATTCTGATTCAGCAAATTTGTATTTTTCCTTCATGATTTATTAGGTCTTTTGTGTCTTATAAGAAAGGTATACCCTACTGTGAGAACACTAGAGTCTCATCATTGATGTTGAGGTAAAAATCTATCTGGAATTTACCTTGGGATACAGTAAAGGGTGAAATTTCAATTTTATGCTCCCTCATTTGTAAAATCAATGGTCCCAAACCATTTCATTTATTGACTAGTACTTCATTCTTTCTCCATTGATATGTGATGCCTACTCAATCATACACATGTTCCCAAATAAATCTTGATTTTCTAATCTTCCTATTGATCTGGTCCTGCACTCATACTACACTGTTCTAATTACATTAAGTCTTGATATCTGGTAGGAAGAAGGCCTCTGTTTCATTCATCTTCAAAATTATTGTAGCTATTTATTTACCATTATTCCCTCAAATAAATTTTAAAACCATTTTGTCAAGTTTCCAGAAAAATCTTCCTGGACTCTGAGTCTACATCCTCTTGGATATAATGTAATTGGAAATATGTTAAATTTATAGATTAATTTTGGATAACTGACATCTTTATAATTTTGAATCTTTCTCTCTATGAACAAACACAGTATCTTCCCACTTATATTCAAGACCTTTTATATTCTTCAATAAATTTTTTTAATTTTTGTTCACAAAAGTCTTAGACATTTCTTGTTACATTTCATTGGTAGGTACTTTATAGTCTCCTTGTTTCTGAGAGTGGTATTTTTTTTAACTTACATTTTCTATTTATTGTCTGGACAAAGGGATACCATTGATTGTTCTGTAATGGTTTTATGTCAAGATTGCTGAACTCGATAAATAAATGTTGAACTGTTTCTTGGGGTTTTTATGTAAATTAATGTGGTAGTTAACTTTATATGTCAACTTGACTAGGCTAAGGAATGCCCAAATAGCTGGGGAAACATTATTTCTGGGTGTGTCTGTGACGGTGTATCTGGAAGATAAGCATTTGAAGTACTAGACTGAGTAAAATTGATTGCCGTCATCATCCCATCTATTGAGGGTCTGGAGAACAAAAAGGTGGAAGAAGGGTGAGCCCACTCTCTCTGTTTAAGCTACAACATCCACCTTATGCCCCAAGGACATTGGTGTTCCTGGTTCTTGGGCTTTTAGACTCAGAAAGACTTACACCATCACCTCTTCCCAACCCCCCTCCTTCCCCCAGCCCCTTTTTAGACCTTGGAACTCAGGCTAAATTATACCACTGGCTCTCCTGGTTGTCCAGCTTGCAGGCAGCAGATCATAGCATTTCTCAGCCTCCTGTTATTTCTCTAGTAACATTTAAAAATTTTAATCTTTCAATCACCTCCCCAAATCTAAAATATCATTTCAACATGTCATCAACAAAAATTATTAATGAAATATTTTGCAATCCTATTTCTTACTAGTTTCTGAAATCCAATGTGTATTTTATACTTCCAGGACATCATGTCAGACTAGCTACATTTTACGTGCTCAACAGTCACATGTGGCTAGTGGCTGTTGCCACTGCACAGTGCATGTCTACATAGCATGACCTTCAGCATTCATATATTCAATAAGTGCTGTGCTTGTATTACATCCCAGCATTAGTCTGATATATAATTGTTAGCAAGACAGGCAAAGTATCTGCTCTCATGGAGGTTATATTCTAAACAGGGAAGACAGACATCAATCAGTAAACCTTTTAGATTCTCAGTAGTGATCAATTGAACTTTCCAAAGACGATGGTACCTTAACCCCAATCTTATATTTCATAGCAGTGCTTTTAAAAAAAAAAGAGAAAGAGGAAGGGAGAGGGATAGAGAGATAGAACATTGATGTCAGAGAAATACTGATCAGCTGCCTCCTGTACACACCCTACTGGGGATTGAGCCTGCAACCAGGCATGTAGCCTGACAGGGAATTGAACTGGTGACCTCTTGGTACATGGGTCAATGCTCAACCACTGAACAACACCAGCCATAAGAATGCTCATTGCAACATTACTTATTATAATAGCAAAAAGACTGAGAAAATATGTATTCAACAATAACAGAATGAATAGGTAAGGTATGACAATCATATAATGGGAATAGAATAAATAGTGTTTATAGTTCAAATGAATGAAAGGGAGCCATAAAGGTAAAAGTAAAAAGATATAGTAAACAATAGAATGGGAAACTACATGTTGTAAGATGACATACCCATGTATGGTTATAGACATTTTAAAAACATACAGAACAATATTATACATTATAAACATATCTGTATAATAAAAGTATAAGAGAAAGAATACCCACCAAATTTATGATGGTAGTGGCTTCAAGGATAGGAGGAAAGGGGTATGGAACTGGGAAGGGAAACAATGGGAACTTTACTAGAAATGCTTTATTTCTTTTATTAATAAAAAGAAGTCCTGAGGCAAATATATCAAAATGTTAACATCTGCCCATCTTGCTAGTGAACATAGTTTCTTAAAAAACATTAAATCTTCCTTTTCTGAATTAATTTCCCCTCAAAACCGAAAACAAATGATTGCCCAAAGTCTCTAATTGAATGCCTTCTCCAAAGTAACCAAAGTCCCAATCAGATTAGACATGAAAGCCACACGACCGCTTCTGGTAACCTTGCTATGCCACTACTCTCACGGTTACATCTTTTTTCAGGATTTTGACAATGAAATGATAAGTTCGTTCTGCACAAGGCAATCAGCTTATCTAACTCACTATCCTGATTTGGAATGAAGCAGACATTTATTTGAAGGACAGAGGTTGCTTTTGCTTTTATCCCTATAAACACCGTGTTCCTGTGATTAAAATCTAATCATGTTTAATTTTCCTACTAACTCCTTAACAGCAGCACACCGCATACGGCATCCATTTCTTCTTTAACAGGGAGAAGCTGTTTTCCAGTGTGACAGGAATACAAAGGAAAGAGGGGGAGGAAAAGTTTTCCCTTCAAATGTTCCCGAGTTAAACCCTTAATTTCTCTTCTTTTAAAACAAGCTTTATTCTTGAAAAAGATCAATAATGTAATTGTAAGCAAACTAATCACAAATACTTCCCTAGTTAAACAATACATAATGTTGGGGGTGGGGGGGGGGGAAAGTCAGGAATAAGAAAAGACATTTTTTTCTCTTGACGTAGTAAGTGGTTTACATCCAATCTATGGGGAAGGTTCATTTACTAATAGTGGATTTAGCAATAAACCATACACGTAACTTCATATATCTTAATAATAGTACATTATATTTGTAAGGTGCTTTGTAGTTCTACAATATTTTTTTAATCAGTATATCATTTGGTGCTCAAACAATGCACTCACTGAAACTCAGGCAATCTCTAGCCATCAAGGTCCTAGGATGGGCTGCCTGCTTTATTTAACAATTAAAAAAAAAAGTTAGTCTGGCTGGTGTGGCTTAGTGGTTGAGTGTCCACCCATGAACTAAGAGGTCATGATTGATTCCTGGTCGGGGCATGTGCCAGGGTTGCAAGCTCAATCCCCAGTTGGGGGTGGGGGAGGGGGTGACAGGCAGCCAATCGATGTTTCTATCTCTCTATCATCCCTTCTTCCCTCTAAAATCAATAAAACATATATATATTTAAAAAGTCAGCTGTGTTTAAGAAAACATACTTGTTCTACACCATGTGAAGAAAAATTGGCTTTTGCACCATATGGCTTAATAGTAATATTCAAGATAAATTATGCTTAACTGCAGAAAAAAACACACTTATGAATAGTTTTTAAAATCTGTCTATAGGTGAAGATTAGTTAGCCCACACGAAGCAAAACTACTATTTTTCAGTGAAATTTATAGTTTCCAGATCACCTTTTGCTCTCTCTGGGCACCCATTTCTCACTTTAGACAAACAATGCTGTTTTGTTTTTCCTACCAATCTCCCCTGATTTAAAGAGAAAGAGATCTAACCCCAGTTATTTATATTATTCACATTTGTGTATATATGATTTCTAATGTTGCATTTTAAAATCTTATTGTAATTGAAAACATCTCATCCTTGTTTAAAATTTTAAAAATATAACCAAACAACTAGAAACTGCACACAAAAAACATTTCCAAGAACAGAAAAAAAAAATCAATTAAAAATTTAATATTGAAACATCCGCATGCTCTCGGATCATGCTTTATGTTGGATATATGTTCAGTTCTAATATAGAATCCTTACCTGTAATGTACATGTGTGACGGTCGGTTTCCTGTATCCAAGGATCCAGGTTTGAATATCTATGGGTTGAGCTTTGGGATAAGCTATAGTTGTATCTATTATCCACTGGAGACCTTTTGATTTGCTATCTGAGAACAAAGAAAAAGCAACTTAAAATTGGATCAATTTTTATATTATTTACAACAAACAACTGCATAGGTTACTTGAGGAGGAGTATAAAGCATATTGATATACCTTTTGCTTTAATAAATCAGGATGAATTTTGGTATTACTGTTCTATATGATGCACTTAGAATGAAGTATTTCCTATTATTTTATAAAACAGATTTCAAACAAATGAACAATTCACAGCACTATTATGTATTGGACATGTATCATTCAAGTATTCAATACTATTATGTGCTACCAAGGTCTAGTTTTTTATATTTTATCACTCATAAAAAACTGGCCTACGAAAAGGTCAGAAGCTATAATGGTCTCAAAACCTTTCACTAAATACAACACAATATAGTATGAACACCAAGGTTTGTGACACCTGGGAGACATTAATAAATATTGTAATAAGGCAATACAAGTAAACATTTCATTGACACACATGATCGCTAGTTGCCGGTCTTGTCTGAAACAAAACCGAAAAACTCCTTCCATTGTAGCAAGAGCTACTGTACATACAATGAAATAACAGATAACTACCGTTGTGAGAGGGAATGGAAGTGCTGTTTTTATTGCCAGTATGGAATACAATGTGAGCAAGAATTAGAGGGGAATCTTCACAGAGAATGCTGATAGCCAGATGCTAACGTCTTATGGCCTATCTTTTATCTGAGGTAATATTTGAGATCCCTAAAAAAGAAAACTTATTTTCAAACATAAGTCCAAATGTACATCAGGAATAAACGATATTTTACTTGTTTATGTCAAATAATTATAAACTGGCCTTAAATGCTTAAAGTTTTTTAGGCAATCCTGAAAGGGGGAGAGAGGATGCTTATAAAAAATAAAAAAATGTTTTTAATAACATAGTGCTAAAGAAACAGAGTTTATGTAACAAAACACATTTTGACAAGCTACCCATGACATGCATACTGAAATGTTGAGGGGTATATTATCGATAATATCTGCAACTTATTTTGAGATGTACTAAAAACAAATAAGATAGACTAATGAATAGATACAAGGATGGACAGAGATATGATAAAGCAAATTATATTAAAACTAGAAGCCAGAATGGGCCTTCCTTTCCCGGGCTGCCAGCACCTGGCCAGAGCTGCCTTTCCGCCTTCCGTGCTGACCAGAGGCCCAGAGGGTCTGGGGTGGTGCAGAATGCCTGTCGTTGCCATGGCAACAACACAAGCATCCCGCCCTACCCTCCACCGCTCAGTGCCTGAGTATTCAAATTAACCAGCCATTTTTGTTGGGTTAATTTGCATATTCATTCCTGATTGGCTGGTGGGTGTCACGAAGGTACTGTCAATTAGCATGTTACTCTTTTATTAGGTAGATGTTAATTACAGAATCTAGTTGGTCAACTCATAGATATTAACTGTAAAAATGTTTTAACTTTTACATATGTTTGAAAAATTTTATAATAAAATCATGGGGGAGGAATCACAAGAGTTGCTTTTTAATATCTATTAAATGATACAATAAACAAAGAAAACCTAATCATTTAAAGTTAATCAGACATAGCTTAACTTTGAAATATATATGGATAACATATTTAAACAGACACAAAGACGTGTGTTTGTATAGAATAAACCATTAAATAACTGATATGAACAGTCAACAAAATAAAATACTTAATACCAAAACATAGAGAAAAAAATTGTAAAATACAAGTAAACTAGATTTTGAGTACACAATTTTCTAGAATCTAATTATTTTTCCTAAACAGAATAAAAATTTTAATTAAGGTAAGATAAGTAATTATCTACTTTGCTTTGGTTATAAGCAGAAGTTGTCTCATTCCCAAGGAAACAAAGATTTTTCTTCATCATTGGTCATCTGTATGAAAATTGTCCCTACATCTGAGATCCACAACATCACAGGGGACTGACTGGGTAAAACGATTTAAAAACAGCAGTCTTAGTGAGTGCAACAAATCCTATTTGGAAGTCCTTTGCCTTCAAGTTTTGGCTTGGCTGACATTGCCACCGTGTCTCTCTAGCAGCAAAGCTATTCTGAACTTTCCTTTTCTATTAAAAGACTTTCCAATTTGTCTTCTTAATAGATGATGAAAGATGAAGAGAGCTGTCTGCCAAGTATTCGCTTAGAGAAAAAAAATAATAATAAAAGGAAAACTCAGTGTAATCTCACAGGCATTATTTCTATGTCTGGTCCGTATTGTCATTTAAAAATACATATTTTTGAGGACCTATCATTTCTATTTTTACTTTTTCTAAAGAGTATTTTTTTTAAAAATAGCAAAATGCTACTAAGGAAATAGGCCTCCTGAGTTTCTTTCAGCTTCTATCACCAAACTGTCATAGTGTCAAACTTGCTCATAACAATCTTCACGTTGTTGGCACAAACTTGTCTGCAAATCTTCACAATTCACCAGGCTATCTCCAAGATTTGCAGTTGCATCTTTGAGTGTGACTTACTTTCTCCTGGCCATACAAGTAATATACTGGTATACTCATTATTTTTAAAAATACAGAAACAAATAAGAAATGAAAAAAAAAATCATAATGTTACAATTCACAGTTAATATTTTGGTATCTTTCACTCATTTTCTACTGCCTTATTGTTTCTATCTTTGGGCTCAGATTGCCTGCACCAGCGTTGTATGTTTCTCCCACTCCACTAACATTAGAGTGTATAAGTATCTTTCCAAGCAAAAAAAACACAAATATCATTTATAAAGGCTGTGTTGTATTCTGCTGTATGGATACTTTATAATTACCATCCCATCTCATTTCTGGCTATTTCTAACTTCTTTGCTGTTATAAATAATGCTGTGACAAACATTCAGACTATTTTTTTTTTAACTGATCTTAATTGTTGAAAGTAAAGATTATTTCCTTTTAATAAAAATTTTTTGCAGTGGGGTAACTGAGTCATTTATCAACATTTTAAGGTTATTAAATAATGCCAAACTGTATTAAATTCATTCTCTGCATTAAAAACAAACAAAATTTTATAAGTGAAAAAATTTTCATTACTACTTTTATTTGCATGTCTATTTTTAGTTTCACAAATTAGTCACTTCTCTCTCCCTATGTCTTTTACTCTAGCTATTCCACTTCTAGGAATCTACACCTCAGAAATACTTCCACAAAAATGTAAATATATTTACAGGAGCTTTTACCATAGCAATGAGAATCACAAGGAGTAAAAATAGGGAACATAAGGAAAAGATAACTTTGACTTCATGCATTTCTGTATTATTTGAATGAATTATTGTAAGCATGAACTACCTTTGTATATAGAAACAACCTTTAAAATTGTATTTCAGCTGGCACCGGTTTGGCTCAGTGGTAGAGCGTCGGTCTGCGGACTAAAAGGTCCCGGGTTCGATTCCGGTCAAGGGCATGTACCTTGGTTGCGGGCACATCCCCAGTAGGGGGTGTGCAAGAGGCAGCTGGTCGATGATTCTCTCTCATTGACGTTTCTAACTCTCTATCCCTCTCTCTTCCTCTCTGTGAAAATCAATAAAATATATTTAAAATAAATAAATAAATAAATAAATAAATAAAAATAAAATTGTATTTCAGCTGAAACCGGTTTGGCTCAGTGGATAGAGCGTCGACCTGTGGACTAAAAGGTCCGACGTTCAATTCCGGTCAAGGGCATGTACCTTGGTTGGGAGCACATCCTCAGTAGGGGGAGTGCAGGAGGCAGCTGGTTGATGTTTCTCTCTCATTGATGTTTCTAACTACCTATCCCTCTCTCTTCCTATATTAAAAAATCAATAAAATATATTTTAAAAAATTGTATTTCATCTTCTCTCCGAGTATCATTTCTATTTGACAAAAATTATAAATATAGAAAAGAACGACGTTATCTGGAACTACAGAAAATCCTTAATTCAACAAAGGTAAAAAATGCTAACAACCATCATACCTAATTCTTTAACATCTCCACCTGCTGGACTTCCATTTTGCTGTCGTGCCACAAGTACATTCAAAATAATTTGTGTTGCTCCAATCCTTGGCAGAGTGACATGTGTAAGAAATGGCAAGTTTTTTTTCTTGGCAAATGCCTGACTTGTTTCCCGCCTCTTCCTGAGGAAGCCCCCTTCTGGAAATAAAACAATCCATTTTCGATCTCTGTTCCTGTAATTATTTTCTAGGTGCTTCCTGAGAAGCAGCAGCTGTTTGTCACGATGAGATTTTCCCTAGAAGGTAGACACACATAATAAGTATAGGTACATGTGACATTAAACTACTGTAAAATTAAATAGTAGTAACAGCTTCTAGAGTAAAATCCAATCATAGACTAGAATGGTGATTTCCCTCAACTTACCGCCTATCTTGACCAAAGTGGTAAAAAGAAGTTACTAGTATTATATAAATAAATCCTTCTTTCTAAAGAAAAAAAATGCTTTAATTGCCCCTGAAAGTTCATTCATTCATCAATTCCGTGACTGTTTACTGAGTGGCTCCACCTTGCTGGGCAATGTCCTACTGATGAGGGTGTGGGGAATCTTACAATCTGATAGAGCACCTGCATTAATCTGAAAAATAACCATATTACTTTTAAATCCTAGAATACATATACTTATATGGGAACAGAGGGTTAAATTTCTTATATGGGAACAGAGGGTTACGTTTTATTTCTTAGGCCGTTGCACCTCTTTGATCACGAACAAAGTGATTGATAAAGTGACTCAACTGTGGACGATGGACAATGTACCCAGCAAGCAAGCAGACCATTAAGCATGGTCAGGCCAACCCCATAGTCAAGACATCATCTCATCACCTGATGCCCAAGAACAATAGCTGAACTCTGCAGACCTCCGGGACTCCATGTAGCTGCATTTCGGCCTCACCCTAGCCATTCCCCTCGATAATCCTGTCCCCTGCACCTTGCTGCAAGACAAGCTCCCTGTCTTCTTGGCTGGCTGGCCTTCTCAATAAACACCCGATATGATTCAACCCTGCCTGCATTATTGGACATTGCCACAGGCAGCCCAAGCCCACCTGTGGGTTACCCAGAAACACTAAATACCAGAGACAGAGAAGTAAGCGACCCTCATATAGGTTACTCAAGTGGGGAAGACAGAAAATGAGTGAAAATTCAACTGGCGATAAGTTTTAGGAAGAAAGAAAAAGATTACAGAGAGGGTCAAGATGTTCAGAGAGCCCGGGCCAGGATGGCTCAGTTGTTGAGTGTCATCCAATGCACCAAAGGTCAATGGGGAGAAAGTAAACAAACAAAGGGGACATCTGTAATACTTTCAAAATAAAGATAAATTTTTAAATTATTTTTTTAATTTTTATTTATTTCAGAGGGAAAGGGAGGGAGAGAGAGAGAGAGAGAAACATTAATGATGAAAGAGAATCATTGATTAGCTGCCTCCTGCATGCCCCCTACTGTAGATGGAGCCTACAACCTGGGTTTGTGTCCTTGACTGGAATTGAACCTGGGACCCTTCAGCCCACAGGCTGATGCTCTATCCACTGAGCCAAAGCAGGTAGGGCCATAAAGATAAATTAAAAAAAAAAAAATCTACTGGCTCTAGTGACAAAAAGATTAAGGAGATAAATTAGAAAACTTTTGCAGTTGTCCAGACAAAGATATTTGAATATGGTACATTGACATTTGACTATGGTACATTGATGAGAGGTGAATTACATTCAGGAAGAAAAAAAAAATTGAAAGTCAAGCTAACAAGACAAGATGCACTGGATTTTAGGGAACGAAAGAGGGTCTTAGAGAATGAAAAGAGGAATCCAGGAAAAATTTCATGAAGTCCCAAAACCCACAACTAAATATTACAAAGGTTCTTCCTTCCAGTATGATCAATTCACTAATAATTTTCCAGCCAATGCAATTACAGAAGCTCCCTAAAATTATCTGTAAGCTTTCAGTCTTGAAATTATTCCAAATGCAAAACAAGTAAGACATTTTCTTAGCTAATTTACTGAAGTGAATTATGATTAAGCTTCATGTATGTAAGTTCCCAAGTCTACTTGTAAAATATTTTTAATACTCTTGGAAATAACTTGTCAAAATCATCTAGTAGCAAAGTCCCAAGAGATTTTCTTTACCATTAATATATTTTCCTCTCCCCTCCTTCCATATTATAGGTTTTGCTACTATCTAGCAAAGAATTTACAAATCTCTCTGATATTTAAGTATGCAAGACTATATATTGTAATAAAAAAATGCTTTAGAGTGCATTTTCTACTTTTATCCTCTCAAGTAACACCAATAATTTAGTATAACTTAGCCTCTTTTTGTTAACTGAGAATCATATTAGGATCACTTATTATACCATACTACACTATAAATTCAATAATTTCCTTAGACTCCCATGATGCAAAAGACGCAGCTAGTTTTTATCTGGATTCCCCTAAACTGCTATGCTTCAATTATTGAGATACTCTGAAATATTAGGCTAGTTTCTTTGTTGTTCTGGTCACTATTTATTTTGTCTCAACTTTGTGGCCAATCCCCACTTCCAATTCTCCCTGAGGTTCCAGAGCATAATCTGTTCATCTCTGCTCAGAAGAACCAAGGGTGTTTCCAGAAGAAACCAGATAACTGCATAGCATGTGAAAAACAAAAATGTGTTCTGTACATAAAAACATCTGAAGTAAAGAATATGTGTTTTATGACACCTATTTTCACAGAGCTTAGAATTTTCTTACATACTTCCAGCTTATTTCTTAATTTGTGGTTCTTAGGAAAGATTTATTTAGATCCACTAGTTATTCAGTAAGTACTTATTATGTGTAAGATACTGCACAATCCTGGTTTAATTTGCCAAATATATAAACACCAGTTCAAGTATGGCATTACCATACATAAAAACGCTTGCATATTTCAGCTGCCCATTTCTGAGAAAATAAAGTGTGTGAAACCAGTAGCATACAGGAGGGAAATACTATAATGTAGTGCTGACTTGATAATAAGCTCTGATACTTTTTCCCACACACTAAATTATTCCTAATGCTTGGGTCTCAATCCCCACCCACCTTCTTTTATCAAACCCATCCTCGTTCTCTATATGTATACCAAATATTTTTTCCTCTAAAATTTTTCTGGATTCACAGAAATTTGATGTACTCACTTTTCCTACTATGAATTCTCAAAATATTTCCTCTTATTTATTTAATAATTTCTCTACTGCTAATTTACATACCTCATATAACAGTGACTTGTAAATAATAATAGTGATAATATAGGTGATGGTACTGGTGATCATGACAAATATGACGACAAAGGTAGCAGGCACTGTGCTGAGTGCCTCACAGGTACTTCATTTAATTCCCACAACAACCCTATGAGGAGAGCACCTATTACTCTCATTTGAAAAATGAGGAAACTTTGAGAGTTTAAATAACTTGCCCAATTCACATAACTACAAAGTAGAGGAGCTGAGAATATGGCAGGTGCTTGATAGGTATTTATTGAACGTTGTACTGTTTAGATGGGAGGAGGAGGGTAGAGATTAGAATGTTTACGGAATCAGCACTTTAATGCTTATGCGGACTCAAGCTCAGATTGAAATAAATGATTTAGGGAATAAAGAGTCAGAGGAACGCTCCCTGACTTCACCTGCTCTAATTGGTTTTGTTATGCCTTTCTGTATAATAAAGAACCAGTTTGATCAGGCTATCACTGTGGGGGGAGCTCATTACTCACCTGTCTTATAAAGAAGTCTCCATGAATTAGAGAAACAATTCCAAAGTTTGTGTACTTAAAAATATGATCCATCAACCACATCATTTGAGCAACAACCTAAAATATTTAAAAACAAGAAATAATTAAATGTTGTCTATAGTCTAGACAATTCTCTGTTGAGAATACTTTCTTTTGAATGTACCATGGACTATGAAATAAATCCAGTAAACAATCCTACTTGTAAATATAAATTAATACTGCCCTAACTTATTAGACAATAAGTAAAGATTATAATACTTTCTGCTCTGTATTTCTCAATTACTCCTTTATGAAAGATTTTAAAATTTCAAACTGTCCAATAATATCAGATCATAAAAAATGTTTAGTGTAAGTACTCAGAAAACAAAAACAAAATTACTCTGAACAGAAAAAGGAACCTTAGACAAACTAACTGAAATCTTTTTACAATGAAAACTTTCTTTTGTCCACATTATTGATGAATTTCAGATTAGCTATGTTTGGTTAATAAAGTTATCATCTATGTCAAACTGGAGTTAGAATAATAATGTTAGGCATATTTATATGGACCATTTGAATTATTCTTTGAGACTCAAAACTAATTAAGGACACTGAATAATCACTATAAGTATAATTATATCAGTAAGAATAAAAATAGTAATTGGGGTTTTTTGATACAAAGCCAAATAAACTGATTTTTACAAAATTTTAACATTATGAATTTAGGAGACAGGCATATAAATACATTGATATATTTTTTAACAATTCAAGATTCTGAATTGAAGAAGGGATTGAATTTATTCCATATTCCAGCAAGATAATACCTCTGCTTTTCAGATAAATAAGAAAAACAGACTCCATAATAATCAAACATATTTTCCTTGACTCTCACCTCATTTTCTGACCCCTGACCTACTAAATAAAAATCTCTAGGATCTAAGCATCCCAGTCTTATTCATGCCTTGGTATTTGGCCAAAACTTTCTCTAAAGAACAAGACCCTTGTTTCATTTCTTTGCCTTATTAAATTCTCCTTCAAGGTCAAGTTTATGTCCTCTTCCCTCCACAGAGTTTTCTATATTCATCCAGTACATTGTGAGCTCACCTGCCACTGAATATTTCTCTCTGCAATTATGTATTGCTTGCTATACCCTCCCTCCACCTACCACTGGCCTGTTAACTCCTTTAAGAGTAGAGGAGTGTCTCATAGGATGGTATTCTATATTTATAGTCACTGACCATGAATATGAAGTAGTCAATAAATTCCTACTAATTTGTTTATTTACTATTAGGCCAAATATTGGCTCTATTAACTTTATATACTTTCTATTTATTTCGTTTTCTATGAATAGAACCTCGTTAGCTTCTCCTAAGGTGATAATTCCTTTCATACTAAAAACAATTTATTTTATACCCATCTAGTATATAAATCTATTTTAGTTATCATAGAAGCAATGTAAATCAAGAGTTCACACAGAGCCTTAGCAACATTAAATGAGTCTGATATTTTCTTTTCAATATGCTTTACAAATGAAAACCAAAATAGTATTTGCCTGATTTTCCTTTGGCTAAAGATCCTCAAATTCACTGACCAACTTTATTCTTCCATCTTAAGGAATATTGCTTTTTGTGTGTATTTCTCTAACTGGCAATTTACCACTTTACCTCAAGACAGCCCCCAATTTTAACCATACTAACTTTGTTAACAAAACAGCTTTATGGGGATATAATTCACATTATCCCCGTTATTCCCCCCCCCCCCCCCCAAATTCCTCTTCTGGAGTAACTCAGAATTACATATTTTTTCTTCTAAATTTATCTAAATTTACAGGAAAAATATACATGTTAAAGTCTATGTTCCAAACCATAAGGTACTTGAATTGGTTCGGTTAACTTCCCCTTTCTGCTGTCCACTTCTGCCATCAGGATGGCTTACCAGCCCTTTGTCCTGGAGGCACATCATCAGAGTGCACACGTCTCCTGTTGCCTGATGATTCACCAGCATTACTGCTTCATCGTCCATAACCGCTTTAACATCGTCCCCCCATTCCATCACTGTGAGAATAAACAAGCTGTCATTTTAAAGATTTTTACATTACTAAAAACCTTATATTAGAAAAACATATCTATTAATAATGATACAACACTTAGCTAAAACTTCTGCAACTTCAGAACTTTATTTCTTATAAAAATCAGGATATTGATATAACATTTTGCAGAGCCCCTAAACATCCATTAAAATATAAAATGGTCAGACTCTTTGATCTAGCAGTTCTACTTTTTAAAATTTATCCTACAAAAATATTTGTCCACTTAGGCAAAGAGATATGCATAAAGGATGTTTATGGTAACTTATATGTTCATTAATAGAAGAATGGATAAGAAAATTATGATATAATGGAAGAGTATAAATCCATTAAAAGAATGAAGGATATTTCTATAACCTAACCCAAAAAGGACTTATCAAGTAAACAGAGAAAAATCATAAAACAGTGTTTACAGTACAATTATATATTTTTAAATAAGAAATAACATTTATATGTTATAAATACATTGAAAAAAGCCTAAGGGAATGAATCCCAAACTATTAATACTGATCATTATTAAGAAATGAGTCCCAGAGCCCTTCAAATTCTGTTTTAGAAACAATATATACAAATATTACAAAAACATGTTAAGTATTTTCATTTTAAAATAAGAAAATAAAGATGTTACATTTATTAAAAATCTCCAGATAAAAAGTCATTGAGCCAAAACCTATGTGTACACTCTAAGGAAAACCAGTGGTATCTCCTTGAGGTTATGTCTCATTTTATAGTAAATTTGCCTCACAGAAAAAAATAAAATTGAACACCAGTTTTGAACATTAGTATCCTACAAAGAAGCCTGCGACATGAATGATCAGAGGCTGTTTATACGTTAGTATTCGCTCATCTCACTCACTGCTGTAAGGAAAGAAGTCAAGACACCTGTAGGTCATCATTCTGGATGAAATAGGGGTGAGGAAACCTGGAGCCACTTGCTTGACCTCCTCCAGCCTCCCTCCCTCCCTCCCTCCCTTCCCACTCACACTTCACTGTCACTCCACTACAACTAAGCTCCTCATGATAGAGTGGAGCTCTTCTGAAGAGCTTATTAGAAAGGGGTTCTGCTAATTTTTTCTTTCTAATGGATGCCTTGCTTAAATATTTTAACATTCATTTCAGATCTCTTAAAATTTTTAATTAAGGAAATTTTCGGCTGGGTTGAACATACAGGATGGGGAAAAAGTAGGTGTACAGTTGTTTATAAAGAAAATAGTACAATAATTAATAAATAACAATACAAGTATAAACTCTCTGTTTTACATGCTCACATCTGTAAACCTACTTTTGCCCCCACCGTGTACATTAAGTTGTGATTCCCACTTGCAAAGTGAGGTATTCCAATCACTCTATTAGATATAGTACTAATACTCAAATAGCTTACACTGTGTGGGAAAATTTTTTCTTTTTATTATTTATTTATTTATTTATTTATTTATAGTCCTCATTTGAGGATATTTTTTCCATTGATTTCTAGAGAGAGTGGAAGGGAGGGAGGGAAGAGAGAGAAAAAGAGAGAAAGAGAAAGAGAGAGAGAGAGAGAACACAATGTGAGACACACACATTGATTGGTTGCCTCTCTCAGGAGCCCTTACACTGGGTCTAGAGAACCTGCAATGGGAATTTAACCCTCAACCCTTTGGTCCTCAGGCCGATGCTCTAACCACTGAGCACACTGGCTAGGCAATTTTTAAAATGAATGCGTATGGACAGTGCATCTCAGGATGTTCAGTAATCCGTAAGGAATGAGATGGAGTAGAGGTAGACAGTGGGAGAGCCCAGGCTCCTGCACCATGGAGTAGCACTAACTTCCCTCCACAGTGACCATCCTTTCCCAAGCTCCCTATTCAGTTTGGCTGACGCGCTAACTTTACTGAAACATATTTAAACAGCTACATCATTCATTGCTGGGGGAATAGGAATTGGTGCAATAATTTTGGCAATATATCAAAATTAAGAAATGAGAAAATCTTTTTTACCCAGCAATTTTATTCTAGGGATTCATCTTACAGAGTTACTTACTCGTGCAAAATGACACGTACCTAAGGCTATAGCAGCATTGTTTTTAAGAGCAAAGATAGACTAGGAGGATAAACTAACTAAAATGTATCAAAATTGAAAAAATGGTGGTTTCCAGGAGGAAGAAATGGGAAGTTGTTTAATTAGTATAGAGTTTTGATTCTGCAACATTAAAAATTTCTGGAGTTATATAATAATGTGAATATATTTAATACTGAATCATACACCTAAAAATGGTTAAGATGGTACGTTTTATGTTATATGTATTTATCACAATTAAAAAGAAAAAAGAAAGACTAGTTAAGTAAATTATAGTATATCTGTGCAATAGAATATTATGCAATCATAGCATTTGTATACTGATATAGAATAGCATACTATAAGAAAAGCAAAATATAGAATAGTGTGTGAAGAACGCCATCAATTGGGTTTTTAAAAAGGACTGAGGAGAATTCATTGACTAAATGAAAACTCACCACATCCTGTCTCTATTGACAACCCCTCAATGGAAACACACACACACACACACACACACACACGCACACGCACACAAACACGCACACCATTCTTTTATTAATTCATTCCTCATTCAGTAAATCAGCATCAGGCAATGTTAAGTGTCATGGGTTTAAAACAAATAAGAACAAAAGTATTATTCTAACAGCAGTTGAAATGCTCCAGAAAAGTCTGGATGAAAGAGGGGTGAGGAAACCAGGAGCCACCTGCTTCACTCCTCCAGCCTCTCTCCCTCCTCACTCACGCTTCACTGTCACTCCCCTACAACTAACCTCCTCCTAACAGAGTGGAGCTCCAGAAAAGCCCAGCTGGTTCTATAAATACTGAGCTGTGTGGAAAGTCTTCTGGTCCCACATCTACATAAATAGATATTTCATAACCAAATATTTCTTTAATGCAATCTCTGCTACACAAATGGAACACACTGGAGCCCTGGCCGGAGTGGCTTGGTTGGTCGGAGCGCGGTCTCGTGCACGGAAAGGTCTCAGGTTCCACTCTGTCAGGGCACTTACCCAGGCTGCGGGTTCGGTCTCTGATCAGGATGCATGCAGGAGGCAATCAGTTGATGCTTGTCTCTCCCATGGATGCTTTTCTCTCTCTCTTTCTCTCTCCCCTTTCCTCTCTCTCTAAAATCAAATTTTAAAAAATGCTTTTTTAAAAGAAAGAAAGAAAATACTAGTTACCTAGGGGAAGCATGTATGTAAATATAACTGCAAATGAAAATGCTTTTTACATAAACTGTATCTTACCTGTCTGCTTTTATATAAAGTGTGTTGGTTTAAATCTCAAAATACAAATTAAATTTAGAACCCTCTGTACTGGGTTGAATAGTGTCTCCCCATAATTTACATCTGTCCTAAATCTGTGAATTTGGCCTTATTTAGGAACAGGTCTTTGCAGATGTAATCAAGTTAAGACGAGATCCTACTGGATTAGGGTGGGCCCTACTAACCCTAAATCCAATATGACTGTCGTTCTTAAAAGAAGAGGGAAATTCGGACACAGATACAGAAGAAGAGTAACATGTAACAACGGAGGCAGAGGTTAGAGTGATATGTCTACAAGCCAAGGATTGTGGATAACCAACAGAAGGAAGCAAGAGGCAAGGAAGGATCTTCCTCGAGAGCCTTCAAAGAGCATGGCCCTCCCGACACCTTCATTTCACACTTCTAATCTCCAGAGCTATGAGAGAATACATTTCTGTTGGTTAAATCTGTGGTGCTCTGCTATGGCAGGTCTCAGAACCTAACATGCCCAACCCACTTAACCCCACTCATCCTTTCTCTTTCTTTTCCATTCAATTCCCCCACAAATTACTGTGTGTGTGTGTTTTAAATTAAATATATGAAAAGAACTGTATTATACTTTTAAACATCTAGACATTTCAAGAAACATCTAACATTATTATAAATGGTTCTCAATGTTCATCTTTATAATACTTTCAAAGTAAAAATCGAGTTACTAATCCACTACACATATTTTATCTCTCAGCCAAATGTATTTTCAAAGTAAATGTCAATTTACTAAGACTCACATGGCATACTAAATCAAACAAGTGAAGGTACTGGATCAACTTTTTATTAAGAAATTCTGATGTAGCAAAAAGTCATGTTTAATTTTGTAATAATTTAAATATTATTCAACAATAAACTTAATATATAATATATGTGGTATTCTTCTTCTACTATACTTTTACCATATTATATACTGCAAAGATGACTGTTATAGAGTTATATAACTAACAAGATCAAAATAAAATGCTTAAAGAGAAAAAACATTTATTTTATGTATAAAGTACTATGTTCCTCAGAGCATATCTGCTATCCCAGAACCAGTAAGAATAATGATGAAGCCAATATCTTAACCAAGGAATAAAATTATTTGCATGTTACAGAATTGAAGCTATGGATGCCTGCCAGTTCTTGCATTGAACTTGATTAGAAGAATAAAAATATTTTAACACACTGTTCTGTAAAATGAATTCTCAAAAAATAATTGGGTCATGTCCACTAGTTCCAAAGGGAATAAAGGAAAACTGAATAAAGACTGGAAGAGAAGTTTGCTAGTTGTAACGAAACTTTGAAAATTCTTGTTAAAAACCACAGCCAAAGATGATCACCTACTACTACTACTACTACTACTACTACTACACACACACACACACACACACACACACACACTAATTCTTCCCAAAAATTTATAAACTAGGATTGGTCAGGACATTTTACATCTCAAAAAGAAAATTTAGCCGAAACTGGTTTGGCTCAGTGGATAAAGCGTTGGCCTGTGGACTGAAAGGTCCCAGGTTCGATTCCGGTCAAGGGCATGTACCTTGGTTGCCGGCACAGCTCAAGTAGGGGATGTGCAAGAGGCAACTGATCGATGAGTCTCTCTTATCGATGTTTCTAACTCTCTATCCCTCTCTCTTCCTCTCTG